TCCTTCTCTTCCAGTAGCAGCCTGGTAAGCGTCCGCGGGTGGGATGATGGACTTGCACAGACAGTAGTATGGTTTCATACAGACGGGGCCACACTCTGCGTCCTGTTTTGTGCCCTGCTTTCCCACCTCATACATTGTGGCCATCCCTCCCTGTCATTGGACAGTCGTCTAGAATTTGCAAAGGGCACCAACAGGCAGTTCCAGAAGGAGAAGTACAAAGGACCAACGAGCCTGGATTGTGTGTTAGGCCTGGTCCTAGCATGCTCAAGACGGGGCCGTGTCCTTCCATAATGTGGGCTCCGTACTATAAGCACCTCCATTTTACATACTTAGAAATGGGATCAGAGAGGGTAAGTAACTTGCCCAAGCCCCCACAGCTGTTTTGTGCTGAAACCTGTACTGTGAACCACTGCACTGCCATCATCAGTGCAATGGAAATTAAAAACAGCCATGAGATATCGTTTTCCCTGTGTGTTTTGGGGGCTTGCCCTGTGCCTGGCAGCCTCACCCTCAAATTTCTCCCTCCCTAGTTTCCCAATTGCTGGGAAAGGGCCCCCCTGCCCACCCTGCCACCCAAGCCAGAAACAGGCCTCTCCGCCCCTTCTTTTCCGTCTGGTCCAACTTCTACCAGCTCTCCACAGGGCGATAGCAGGGCCCCTTGGCTGACCCCTGGGCCCAGTCTCGCCCTGGGATGCCTCATGCTCAGCTCCAGGGACCCATGGCGCCTGGGTGAAGGGGCCTGGCTCCAAGTGAGTGGGCAGTGGGCGGCTTGCCCCTCTGAGCCACGCTGCACACAGCCCGAGTGACCGCCATGGATACTGACCCGAGCCTTCACTGAGCCTTCTTGGTTATCCCCGCGACCGGGGGAAGCATCCTCAGCCCCCTGGCCACCCTCGCCCTCACCCACACCTCGGTCCCCACACCTCCCGCTACATGACCACACTACCAGGAGTTTTGAACAACTAACGGACCAATTAATTTACTTGTCTGAGAGCCTCCAAACTGGGAGAGGGGAGGCTAGGCCTCACACCCTGCCCAGGCCTGGCTGCTGCCCGCAGGGCCCCTCCCAAGGAGGCAGGGCCTGCAGGAGGAAGCCCAAGTGTCCTGACCCCTTCCCCTTCCCCTTGGCTGTAGGGTGAGGGCCGCCTTGTTCAGCCCCACCTCTGCCCTTGGCCCTGGCCCAAGCCCAGCCATGGGCTGCAGCTGCTGCCGTCCCAGGCCCAGATGCCAGCCCTGCTCTGGCACATCCTGCCCACTTGGGCACATGCCCAAGAAAGGGATTATCACCTCAAGGTCTCAAGATAACAGCCTGGTGCACAGGGATATAATGGGGAGCCCCCCAGGCAGGCGCCCTATGCCTCGCTGACCACGGCACCATGACCTCCCTCTGGCTCCTCTCCTGCTGCACCCTCCTGGGCACGGCCTTTGGTGGGTGAGGGGGCAGACGGACCAGGAAGGCTGTCTCCCCTCCCCTCCAACCCCGAGGCCAGCAAGGGGCAGCAGGGGCCCTGCTCCCAATTCTGCTGTGCACAGTGGTGGGAGCCTGAGTGAGTCTCTCTCCCGCTCTGAGCCTCGCCAGCCCCAGCTCTGCAATAGGGATGCTGGGAGGATTCGACCAGGGCAGCCAGTGTGAGGCCCATGGGGAGGAGGTGGACCTACCTTGGGCTGCCTTGAGGCCTCACACCCTGTGCAGGGGACAGGGAGGACAAGTACAGAGGGACAGAAAGTTCTCAGAACAGTTCATGACTCCCAAACAGGCTCAGATGGTGAGCAAGTGGGTAGGTGTGGCTGGGCCCCCAGCAGCCCTCTGTGGCTCTGGAACTCAAGCCCTTTGAAACTCGTGTTCACTGAGCACTGACTACTGCTCCTGTGCCAGGAGCAGAGCAAGCTCCTGCTGTGCCCACCAACCCATCCTGCATCCTGATACCAACTCTGTGAGGTTAGCAATGTGATCCCCCTTTTGCTGATGAGAAACCTGATACTCAGAGCGGTTAAGCTGGGCAGCGATGGGGCCAGGTTCAAACCCCCGGAGCCCAGCCTCCCAGCCTGTGCTTTGGCCCTGCCACCACCTCACACTCAACCTGTTGGGCTTGTCTGTGCTGAAGCTCACATCAGACTGAGTTGTCCCTGGGGGATTCCTGCAGCAGTGGGAGCCAGGTTGGGGGGCCCAGAGTCAACCTCGGCCTCCAACCCTCAGCCCGTACTCCCACTCCCAGGCTGTGGGGTCCCTGCCGTCCACCCCGTGCTGAGTGGCCTGTCCAGGACCGTCAATGGGGAGGACGCTGTCCCCAGCTCCTGGCCCTGGCAGGTGTCCCTGCAGGCAGGGGGGGATTCTGCGCATGGGCGGGGGACACACTGGGGAATTGGCCTGGCTCAGGGCTGCTGGTGTCCAGCCAGCGCTGACCTCCGCATCTTCCTCCAGGACAGCACCGGCTTCTACTTCTGTGGGGGCTCCCTCATCAGCGAGGACTGGGCGGTCACCGCCGCCCACTGAGAGGTCAGGTGAGGGCCCGGGACCCCCAGGAAACCCCTTGGGGTACGGGGAAGACCCTCAGCACTGAAGACTAGTCCCTTAACTCCTTCATTCCTCAATTTCCTTATTTGGAAATGTGCAGAAAACTCAAGACCTGCCCATCTCCCAGGGGCCACAGGGAGGAAACACCAGCAGCATGTAGGCACAGTGGTTCGGGGGGGCAGTAGTTGATATTTTGAGCTCCCATCTCTGTGATCAACACCACGCATGTGCGTACACAGGCACATGCATGCATATGTCTGCACACGCGCGCACTCACGCTCATGCGCACACAGAGCACCCTGCACCCCCAGCCTGGCCCCACCACCTCACGGCACCTCCTTTCTCTGACCCTCTCCAGAACCTCTGACCTGGTCGTGGTCGGGGAGTTTGACTAGGGCTCAGACGCTAAGGACATCCAGGTGCTGAAGATTGCCCAGATGTGGTGGCCCCTGGAGTCCAGGTGCGACCCCAGGCAAGGTGGGCCCTTGGGAGTGTGCAGCCCAGGCTAAAGGGGCTGGACCAAGAGGCCTGAAAACCCCCAGGCTGGGGGAGTAGGAAGGGGCGCCCCAGCTCTTCCCAATCACCCTAATGCTCCATCATGATGGGGCAAAGAGGAAGTCAGGGTGTGTGAGGCTCCACCCAGGGGAAGGTCTGCACCTCGGGCCAGGGAGGTGGCAAGTTGAACAGGCCGTTGTCCAGAGAGGAGCGCGGAGGCGATGAGGGGTAGCCCGGCGCCCTGGTTCTGCCTCGTGTCAGCTTCTTCCCAGACCCCAACTGCGGCTGTCCGGCCCTGCCCCATAGGTTTTCAAGAACCCCGAGTTCGACAGGTTCACCGTCAACGGTGACATCTGCTGAAGCTGGCCGCACCCGCCCACTTCTCCCAGACCGTGTCCTCTGTGTGCCCGCCCAATGAGGCCAACGACTTCCCTGCTGGGATGCTATGCGCCCGCCACCAGGGGCTGGGGCAAGACCAGCCACACCAGGGAGTGAGTGCCGGCCAGGTGGGAGGGTGGTGGAGGCTGCAGGGCAGGGCGGGCTGCTGTTGCTGCCCACCCACCCTGCCCTTTCAGACACCAACCTCCCCGACAGGCTGCAGCAGACGGCCCTGCCCCTCCTGTCCAATGCCGAGTGCAAGAAGTTCTGGGGCAGCATCATCACCGACCTCATGGTCTGCGCTGGGGCCAGTGGCGTCTCCTCCTGCAACAGTATGGCCTCTTGGGCTCCCTGGCACCCCTTCCCTCCCACCCTGGGTGAGTTCAGGCAAAAGCCCAGGCCAGGGGCTTGGGCAGAGAGAGGAAATGCAAGTAGCAGGCAGGCCTCTTCCTAGGGTTTTCCGGCCTGAGTAGTTGGGAAGACAGGGCTCCTGGTGGATCACCGATGACCTCAACAGAGGGGTGCCAGCACAAGAGGTGAAATTCCACTGACATCTGCATCTGAGCAAATGGTACCTCCTGTTGTACAGGAGTTGTACAGTGCACAGCCTGAGCAGTGGAACATGGTGGTCCAAAAGGGATCCAGAAGGGCTCAGGCAGCCCTTCCTCCCTCAGAGTGGCCCCATGGCCAGCACCACCCACACTTTTCTTTTATCAATGAAACCAGCTTTATCGAGCCTCCATTATAGGACTCCACCCCAGGGAAGTGGCCCAGACTTCCAAGGGTACAAACCACAGAAGGAGCTGAAATTTCTTTCATGTGCATGTGTGGAGTGTCTACAGGCTGTCAGGCCCTGGACTGGCCTCTGGGAACAGCGTGCAGGGGCTCCTGAGCCAGGCCACCTGGGCTGCCAGAAGGATGGAGTCTGGACCCTAGTAGGCATTGTGTCCTGGGGCAGTGGCACCTGCTCCACCTCCAGCCCCAGCGTGTACGCCCGTGTCACCAAGCTCATGTCCCGGCTGCGGCAGATTCTGGAGGCCCACTGAGCCCCTGGCCCCACCCTGGCCTCCTTGCCTACCATTCTCCCACAAAGCTTCAAAAAACTGGTGGAAGACACGTTGATGGTGTCTGTCTCCTGTGTCGGGGCCTCCAAGGCCTCACTCTGCTCCTGCACTTGGGCCTTCACTGGGCCAGGCGTCAGGGGGTCCCCCAGAGGGCCTCTCCTTAGTCCCCGTCCCCAGAGAGTGGCCAGAAAGGACACAGACAGGTGAAGTCTGACCTTGGCTCCCACCCCTCACCCGATGCTCCCACCCCTGGCTGCAGGGTTCTCGCCATCCACCTTTGCTGAGCGTGCTCAGGGCCCTGCTCTGGGGAGTGGGCAGCTGGGGGACGAGCCCGCTGCTGGCCCCACACACCTGTGGTTCCAGGGGACCTTCCCAGGAGCGGCCCCCCAGGGCTGCCTCCCTCCCAGGCCCACGCTGCAGCCAGGTGCTTCTCAGCCCAGGGATTCACGATAAGGAGGGCATGGCGAGGCAGGCTGCGATTGGTGGGCTGGGGGAATATAATGGGGGTCCCTCGGGCAGACCCCACTCTACCTCCTGAGCCACACACCATGGCCCTTCTCTGGGTTGTCCTTGGCTTCCTCCTCTTTGGCAGCAGCTTTGGTAAGTGCAAGGCTCAGGCAGGCCTGGCAGCCCCAGGTCCGGCCTCGCCCACCCCCTGCCCCGCACACCCAGAAGCAGGGAACGGGAGGGTCCAAGTCCTCGTACCTCTAACCGCCCCCGGGCTCCTCGGCTGGCTTCCTGCCCAGCTGCCCCTCTCAGCCTCCCTGGGCGCCTCTGCTCCACTCCCCAGTCCTTGACTGGGCCTGGGGCCCCCTCCACCACCTGGAGGTCCCTCAGGCACCTCAAACTCAACTGGACATACCTTGGACCCGGCCTCGTCTTGGTCTCCCTCAGCCGCTCAGAAGCCGGGGGCCGTCTGGGCTCCTCCACCCTCCAAATCTGCCACCGAGCCCTGTGAAATCTGTCTTGACACTGTCTCCCACGTCCCTCCCTTTGACTGCACCCTCTGGACTTGGGCAGCCTCCTGGGTTTGTGCTGCCCCCGGTGGGGTAACACCCTTGCCCAACCCACTCCTGCTGCAGACTCAGGCAGTGAGAGCACCAAGGACTCAAGCAGAACATCACAGCCCCCATGACCCCGGACCCTGGGCTCAGAGCAGGATGAACACTCTCCTCAGGGCACACAGCGGGTCGGGGAGCTGTCCACCTGGGGTCCCCCGACTCAGCCTTCCAGCTCTGGGCCCCAACTCCAGATGCCCTCAGCCTTTGGAACCCTCGACAAGGGCACCCATGGGTGGCTGCCAGCTGGGTGGAAGAGGGCTGAGTGCCCTGCAGTGGCCAAAGCTCTGGGTGCCAGGTGCTGCAGAGGCCTGGAAGCTCTGGGTCTTCACCCCTGGTCCCCTTGGGACACGGTCTACTGACTGGCTGCTCTGCTCCTGCCCCCAGGCTGCGGGGTTCCTGCCATCTACCCTGAGCTCAGTGGCCTGTCCAGGATCGTCAATGGGGAGGACGCTGTCCCCAGCTCTTGGCCCTGGCAGGTGTCCCTGCAGGTGAGGGGGAGGCTGCAGGGGGTGGGTTAGGCCAGGAGGGGTCAGGCAGGAGAGGCAAGGCTGACTCCCCCTCCCCCCTCTCCCCAGACCCGCTCTGGCTTCCACTTCTGCGGGGGCTCCCTCATCAGCCAGCGCTGGGTGGTCACCGCCGCCCACTGTGGGGTCAGGTGAGGCCAGGGCTCAGGCAGCAGGGGCCCTGGGTGTCTGGGAACAACCTTTAACTCCTCCCAAACCCGACCCGGTGGGGAAGGGTCTGGACAAACTGCAGGCTGGGAAGAAGCTGCTCCTGACCCCCAGCCGCAAGCAGAGCCGCAGTCTGCAGGAGAAAACCCCCAGCCAGTGCCCCTCACCTCAGCCCTCCGCTCTGTCCAGGACAGCTGCTCTAGTCCTGTGCCTTCACTGTACAGAGGGGGAAACTGAGGCCCAGAGCAAGAAAGGGATGCCCTGAGGTCACCACGTGATTCAGTGGCCCAGCTGGGGCTGACCCCACCTAGCACACTCCTCTGGCGCCCCTCTGAGGAGGCAGCCATGAGCCTGAGCACCACCTGCCACCTCCTCTCCCTCCAGGAAGAGCCATCGCGTGGTGGCCGGGGCATCTGATCTCGGCTCTGACGAGGAGGCTGTCCAGGTGCTGAGGATCGCTGAGGTAGAGCCAGGGGGGCGGGCCGAGGAGGGTGGGCTCGTGTGGCCATGGCAGGGCTGCCCCCGGGCTCCAGGGACAAGGGAGGAGCCTGGTGGGCAGGGTCGGTGGGCACAGAGGACCCCGGCCAGCTGGCTCAGGCCTCACCCCACCTGCGCCTCTCGGCCCTGAGCTTTCTTTTCTTCTTTCCCAAGTGCTAAAGCTCCTTTACAAATACTGAAGGTGGTTTCTGATTATAGAATGTCTTGCTTGTCGTGGAAAAACACGAAAATACAAAAATTAAACATCAGCAATGTGTCTCATGTCATTTTCCCACCAGTCTCCAGAGATTTTGTCTGTCCAGCCTCGTGTTCCTTTCTCA